AAAAAAATGTCCTTAAATCTTTTCATGTAGCTTTGTTTTTGAATAGCTTTTCTTCATGAATCTCACACGTATTTTTATTCTAAGTAGAGACATTGAGGCGTGTGTACCTTTCTCAGCTTTTTCTTGGAATATAATTATTTGGACTGAGCTGTACATATTTATAGTATTTATAAGCTCTATACACCTGTGAGACCACCACCATACTCACAGACTGAGCCTGTCCACCACCCTCCTGAGCTTCCTTCTGCTCTCCTTGGACTCCGCCCTCATCACGGCCTCTTCAGTAGGTTAACTATTTATCTGCTCCCTGCCCTTATGTGTTAGTTTGCATTAGTATGATCTTTATCAGTTTGACTTAGAATAATTGTTGTGGCATGTTGAAGTCATTGATCTGTTGCTGTGTATTTGGGTGGTCTGGAGCTCCGGACTGTTATGCATCAAACTGCATAAATGTCTATAGAAATCTTTGAGACAAAGGTTTTCATTTCTTTGGATGACTCCTAGTGGGTAAACACCTGGACCGTGTGTGTGTGGGGGGCGGGGGGGATAGCTTCACTCTTAGAAACTGATCAACTTTCCCAAGTGTGATGCACTTCCTCGCATCCCACCAGTAGTGTGTAGGCCCTACTCCCTCTACGTCCTCGTTGTTTGTTCTCTGAGTGTGAACTTCCTCACGTCCAGACTTTTCTTGATGTGTGAACTTATTCACCTTAGGAAGTGTGGCTTTGGCATCACTACCTTAGTTTTTGAGACATTGAACCTGGAGCTTATTGATTGGTTGGTCAGCCCTAGAAGGATCCTCATGCCTCTGCCTCCCCAGAACTGGCTGATGCGTGTGTAGCATCACACTCAGCTTTTGATGTGGCTGCTGGGATCCAAACTTGGGACCGCATGCTTGTGTCAAAAGCACGTTACCACTCAGCCATCTCCTCAGCTCTTCTGCTTTAGTGAAGTCAAGGAATGAACTGCATATAGCTTCAACTTTTTAAAACTGATAAAAGATTTGTTTCATGGCCCGGAATATAGTTTCTCTTACAAAGCGAATTACCCGTGTGCACTGGGTCTATGTATGCTGCTTCGGAGTAGATAGTCATTTTAAAGGACATGCAGTTAGGAGGAGGGGGTGGGTAGTTATACTCAAACGTTCTGTGTCCTACCTGATTTTCTTTCCTCTCGTTCTAATTCACATCTCTCTGCACTTGTGGATTTTCCTACTCCATGCAGTCTTGTCATATTTGTATTTGAAGCTCTGTTGCTTGCTCTGTGAGTGAGCACTTGTTTTCTTCTCAGTGAGGCAACCCTTTTATCAACGTGCAACAGCCTTGCTTCTCCCTGTTTAAGTGTGTGTGCTCGAGCGTGCGCATGCTTGAGTGCACACGTGTATTTGACTGTTTTTAAACACTCGGGGATCCCGAGTCCCAGGTTTATGACCTTTCCCCTGCAGAGGAGTTCTGCAGATCCCCCTTGTTCTCTAGGGTGATGATGCAGTCAACAAACCTGGCCTGGCAAAGTTTAAGATGTTGGCAGGTTGGCGGAAGTTCAGCATTGTGTTCTCACAGGATAAAAATGTGCTACTATTTGCATAATGCAGTTTGCAAAAAACTAAGTGCTGTATATGTTTTTACATCGTTTGACTTTATTTATTTCATAGCCTTCAGTCTTTCCTTTTTAAATGTTTCTTCTGTATCAGTGGTTCTCAGCCTTCCTGATGCTGTGACCCCTTAATACAGTGCCTCATGTTGTGCTGACCCCCAACCTTAAATTTTTTTTGCTACTTCATAACTGTAATTTTGCTACTGTTATAAATCATAATGTGTATATCTGATATACAGGATGTCTGCTATGTGACCCCAAAGGGGTCATGACCCACAGGTTAAGAACCAGTGTTCTACATATATTTAGGCATAAAAATTAAAACCAGTTATTTTAATAGAAATATCAGAGGAGAGGGTTTAAGTTTATTTAACATTTTCTATGTATTATTTTGATGTCAATATTTTAAAGATAACTTTCAAAACTCTGCTTGTATTTGGTATATACAATACTTAAGTTAAATATGTCAAATACTTAAGTATATGAAACTCTTATATGTAAAGCGAGATGTTCATAAAGGGACTTATCAAGATAGATATGAAACATTGTATGCTTAGACCTGATAAGAATTTGAGGTTGCTGAAGAGTTGGCAGTGACTAGGAGAATCAGCAGTTAGCATTGTGGGTTCTGTATTTTTTGGTATTTGAAGGTTAACTCAGATATTCACAAGCAGTTTGATGTAATGTTATAAGTAAACTCAGAGATGACTTGTTTGGTAATTGAGCTGTTTTTTTTTTTTTTTCTTTTCTTCCCCAGGAGTCTTCCAGAACCTCTTATGACCTATGAGTTACATAGAGACTTCATTGTTCCAGCCAGTAAGTATCATGTGAATATACAAAGACTCAGATTGGTGGTTGGTAGTGTGCACACATAAAAATTTCCACATAAAAATTATAACCTAATAGTACTCCCATGTGTGTTGAAAGGAGAGATCCTTTAGAGAATGGCTGTTTTCTCTCCTTTTAGAAAGTTAACAAGGGCTGGAGAGATGGCTCAGTGGTTAAGAGCACTGACTGCTTTTCCAGAGGACCCAGGTTCAGTTCTCAGCACCCACAACTGTCTGTAACTCCAGTTCTAGGAGACCTGACGCCCATGATAAAACACCAGCACACATAAAACAAAAATAAATAAATTAAAAAAATAGTGAGCAAAGCAATTTGGTAATGGATCATCCACGGACTTAGCAGTTCCTGTTGTTTCTTTGCCTCTGGTAGAAACTCGATGTGTGAGGTCAGAACAGAGTCCTGACTCCAGCAGCCAGTTCTGTCTGCATGGCACTCTCACTGTCCTGTGGATACTTAGTATTGGCATGAACAGAATACTGCAGAACAAGCTTGTAGGAGGTCGGAGAGAGGGTGGATTTGGAGACATTATAGCCTGGAGATAGTTTCTTGTAAAGACATTTATATAGACAACATAGACAGGAGAATTATTAGAAGACACTGCCAGAAGCCTAAACTACTTGATAATGAATTATATAGGATATATGTTGAATGACAACGGCCAAAAGCTGGTGAGTTTTAATTTGGTGTGAGGTATTTTCTGACCCCTAAACCCATGAGCATTTGCTCGTGCCCATACTGTGTATTTGCAGTGGAGTGAGAATGTGTTCCTGCTGCAGACAGAGCTGGGGATGTTTCTGTCATACAGCTCTGCTTTTATCCTCAGTACATGCTGCTTAATCAGTCTTCCGAAGGGTACTGATGTTAGGTAATTCAGAGTTAAGGGAATTGAAGTTGAGGCATACATATTAAGTAAGTTGACAGATTGTAGAGACCCTTACTTAATTGACACTTACCTCTCCACTGGCTGATTCTGCAATACTGCTTTTCATAGGCTCATTGAGAGTAGCTGAAATTGTACACCCACACCCCCAGATATATTTTATATTTTAATTTGTTGAAAAACTTACAGCAATACCATTGGGTCCTATGCCACTGCTGCCTGAACATGGCTTTAAATGCTACCTTCTTGTGACATCATGGCTCCAGACTGTGTGAGAAATTTGCAGAAAGAATCACTGTTGGATGCATTACACTACACACAGAAAGGAAGCTTTTGGGAAAGGCCAGAATACAGTTGTGTTCGGAGTTATTCCAAAAAAGAGGGTTTGTCTGATCAAGGAAGCGGGGGAAGGTTTTCTTGGCAAAAACACAAGCAAATGCTTAGTTGTTTTGATTTCTTCCCTGTGGCATTTTTGGCAAACAAGAGAAAGAAATTAAATTTAGTTGGAGGACAGTTTAAGGTTGTTCATCATACACCCTGGAAAAGCTGACGAGTGCCAGCTTGCATCTAGAAGTCTTTGCATTCTGGAGAAAGATAGAGTGATTATGGAATGAGGTTTTATATTACATGAGTTAGTGTCATGAGAATTATTACCATGTGTGACTAACAGTGGAGTGTTCAGAATCCTAATGTCAAATGTCTTTTACCAGATGAGGAAGTTCCTCCCCATTAGGAGGTAATGAAGCCCGAGATGGTGGGGTTCGCTGGTTTGTTTAACTGTGTTTTGGAGAATCGAGTAGATGTGATGGATTCTGTTCCCTTTTGGGTCAGTACCCGGTATTTTGTCTCCTGACCTTGTGGCCTTCTGCAGTAGTTTTAATGCCGATTTGAATAACAGGACTGTTGTGAAGGAATACTGCAGCTCCTGTAGTTAGTGATGTGGATTTGTACCTCCGTGTGGTTGCAGTTGGAAGGGGCCCACACTGATCTGGTTTAATGAGAAACACTATACATGCTAACTGGCTTGCTCGGGTCCAGCGTGGTTAGGGCAGTTTGACTTCTCCTTTTCCTTTCTTGCGAGTACCTTCCCTCTGTCCTTGATGCCTCTTGGGAAAGGGCATGGGAGTAGATCCTCTTGCATTTTGCACATGCACTTGTAAGTATTGAATGCGTTACAGAAATCAGATGGCCAAAATTACTCTCCTCCTTTTGAATATTGGAGGATTGGGATTGTGGTTTAACTCATTTCCCATCAAAACCAGCAGAGTTTACCTTGTTTGGTCTGTGAGCTCAGCTGGCGATTAAGTAATGACTTCACACAGCCAGCCATTGTGGTTGTCTGTCATACCAGCATGGGAGCTAATTTCTGGCTCTTCTCCACTGTGTGGTGGTTTCTGTGTGTTCTGTGATGCTGAGAAGGTTCTCTCTCCTTCACTGAGGGTCAGAAGGCTTCCCCAGCCGCCTTTGTGTTCCTTCATCATTTTATTGCCTATCATTTTCTGTTGAGAATGTGAGCTTCTCAAGTTGGTAATACAAAGGTAAGAGTTTTGTTCTGTGTTCTCACTGCAAAGTGTATATCTTTTTGTTTCTTATTGTAAAAGAAAACTGTTCTGTATGGAACACATTGGAAACATTTTTCAATTTCAGAAGTTTGAAAGCCTTAAACTGTTAACTGCATTCATTAGGTTTACTAAAAGAATGAAAAGCACCTATCCATGAGAAACTAAACTATACTTTAGGGGGTAGAAATTCATAAACTACAAATGTTTTGAATTGGTTTATGTAAGAATTCAGAGGTTTGTGTCAGCCTGTACAAAGCTGGTAGCATTTACCTGGAAGCTTTCCCCTGTGAAGCCCATTGCCCTTGAGAATGATGTAGTCCATGCTCTGTAGCCTCAGAGTCCTTAGCCTGTCAGTGTGAGCATGGACCCATCCTGCTGGGTTGGACTCACATTAGACTTAGCATGGGCTGGACAGCTTAATCCATGGTGCTTGCCTGGTGTTGCGTCTTTAGAACCAACGGCCTCCCTACTGCTGCTCAAAGTAGAATGCTTGTATTTCTGTGCTGTGTGTTCGCTTTCTGTAGTCAGGTTACTACAGAAAGGTTATGCAGCACACTGAACAACCACAGCCATTTCTGGTGAGAACCGGTGTAGGATCCAGTACATGGTATTTGCATAACCAGAGCATTCCATTCCATTCTTGTTGGGAAACACACATGAGGAAGGATGTGGGAATGTGGGCATCACAGGGATGGGGTATGTAATGTCTCCTGTTTCTCTTAGCTGGGCGTGTTCACTCTACAGTAGGTGAGGACCACAGGAGGACTTCAGTACCTTTTACATGATGACTGAAGCCGATGTTTACCTTAGGAACTGTTTGGACAGTCACTGCTTGTAACTTCCTACATTACAATATGATTGACACATGGCATTTACATTTAAGATAACTTAACAGTCTGCCTATGTGTTTTGTTAAGCCCTTATAAGCTTGCTCATATCTGCAGCCTCTGTTGTTATGACATCATAAGCCATTAGACACTGAAGTATGATGGATGCTGATGTGTGGTTTCCCAATTCTGTTTTTTCCTATCACAGCAAACTCTCAAGTCTCTGGTACATTACAGGAATTTTGTGTATGATTAGTTAGGTGCCCTTGATGAAAATGATATGCTCTTCATTCTTTGCTAGTTAGTATCATTGAAAATATAGCAAAATACACATAGCATAAGTAACAGAAAATAATGTGTTTTAGCAAGATTTTTGGGGTGCAGAGGACATATTACCTTGTGGAAGTACCTATTAGAAAGATTTGATGTCAGAACAAAACAATGTAATTTGAAGAGCTAAACAAGCAGATATGGGAGAAGTGTGTGTGTGTGTGTGTGTGTGTGTGTGTGCGCGCGCGCGCGCGCGCGCGCGCGTCGAAAATAGATTTCAAATATTGTTCATTGTTAGAAATGAAAAATACCATCACTAGAGGCTGGGAAATGTATCTCTTCAGCTTACACTTCTAAGAGATGAATCCTGAAATATCAAACTAGATTTTTATTGTAGGCAGCTGCTTATTAGATTTGGGGTAGGCTCCTGAGCTAGCAGTCTTTCATTACAAAGCCTCACTGGAGTTCTAAATTCCCGATGACAAAATTGCTATCCTTGATAATGATTCTTAGTCCTGTGCTGGAGCCTGTGACTACTTGAGTTTCTGCTTTTATTTTGTTAAAATTTGTTAAAATTTTGTCTTGAAATTCTGTTCTTATTAATAATCTTTAACATTATACAGTCATCTTAATGGACATCTGTAGACTTTTATATAAAGCCTCTTATTAAGCATTTCTTTTGCTTCTGATGTTTTGATATTTGGGGCTCCTGTGTCCTGCCTAGTTACAAACTCCAGTCCACTGTTCCTGTCTTCTCACTTGATGACATTCTCACTGCAGACCAGTGTTCTAATCACCCAGGGACAGAGCGCTCAGAGGTCAGGGTACCAGTGGTAGTCTTTGCCTGGCCTCACAGGACCCTTCCAGCAGGATCCATTGTAGGAATTCTCTATCCCTGCACTTCCCTCCCTCTGGGCCCTCACTCACCATCGCACTTGCTCGCGGGTCCTACATGGCTTGGTGCCTTCTGTTGGTTAGGCACAGTGTGCACTCGATCTCACACGTTACCATACATCATCAAACAAACCATGATTCAGTTTAAGTTGCCTCTTTCTGAGGTTCCTAAGTGATGTGACTTAAGCATATATTTTGGGGAGAGTCACGAGCCTGTAGCCAAGAGGCTCCTGTTGCTGCTTTTGGGTTGTGTTTCCTGGTGGGCTGCCAAAGACTGGACAGTGTCACGTGAACTCTGAGTTCACTAGAAGGGATGCTGGCCAAGGGGAGAGGCCGCTGGAGCTTTGTGTGACATTAACTCCAACCAGGGAGAGGCCCAAGAGTGCTTAAGCGCCTTCTCTTTTCAGGTCCTGAACAGACAAATGGTTCCAATCTCTAGTTATGGGTAATAGCTTGGTTCTAAGTACTCTATTAACTATTTTTCCTTCCCCTTTTTAAAAAAGAAAGTGGCAGCCCGGAGTCCCGTGTTAATGCCATCCATTTCTTGGTACACAAACTGCCAGAGAAAAACAAGGAGATGTTGGATATCCTGGTGAAACACCTAACCAAGTGAGTGTTCTCTCCTTTCTCAGCTTTCTCAGTGCTGTGGGTGCTATGCATTGCTCTTGGAGCTGGGGCTGTGTGTCCCCAATACCAGCAGCCTCACCTCAAGACCAGGCTGTCCAGTTGACTCACTGTGTGTCTTGGACAGAGCAGTGAAACAGAATGCCGGTTGAAGCTGGATGATTATTTGCCCGACACCACTGCCAACACCTCAGTGAAAGGGAGGATATTGTATATTGCCCCATCACGGATTGTGGAAGTGTGATTATAAATGTGTTAGTAGGTTGAGCTGGGTTCCACACACACCTAATGCTTTGTTTGAGCATGTCCTGTAAGTTTGTTTAATCCAGTCATGGGTCTGGTCCATTCATGTTTCCTGTCTAAAAAGCAGAATGTATTAGCTCAGTGGAGAAATAAACCTTTTCAAATAAAAATGACTCCCAAATCACTATATCTGTAAAATTTAAGTGAGGAACAGTATTTGGAACTGTGGTTTCTCTAAATAAAACCACGTGCCTCTGGAAAGTGCCAGAGGACACATAGTTAGACCAGATAAACGACCGCCCAACTATGCAAAGCCTAGTGAGAAAAGAAACAGATTACAGTGGCTGCTGAAATCATTTCCGCCCAGTAGCAAAAGAACAAGGTGTTCAGACAGTGCAGAAGGTGAGTTGGACTGTGAGCCTTTAGGACGGACGTCTCTGGTGGGATGGGGTCCTGACTTCAGTGGGAGTTCTGCTGAGAGCAGCTGTGCGTGGTGCTCCCTGAGCTGCAGGACGGGGAGGAGTGAGTGACCGTGCTCTGATGGAGCACACCGACCGTTACGATGCTGCAAGGACCTCGATGTCTGTGGTAGCAAGCGGGTGATGATCTGAGTAGAGGGGCCATGTCCTAAGCTGCCTTTTTTCTGTGTGTAACTAATGCATGATAAATGTGTGTTTTGTGGAGGAAGGCGTGCTTGCTGAAATGACAAGCAATATGATTTATTCTTGTGAAACAAAACAATTAAATTAGGAAATTCCATTTTTATTTTCAATCATTGGTTCAAGAGAGCTGCACAATTCTTCATATAAATCTACTTATCTGCTTAATATTGAGCAAATACATTTAAGAAATGATGACAGAGCTGTTGAAAGAATGGCTGCTTAGATATGAGCTAACATGAGGACTGTCAGTGGGAACAGCTTCACAAAACGTTCCTTCACCTTGGCAAGGTCCCCAGGCTTGTTAGTCAGCTTGCCATGCCTGTGACACACATCTGAGAGAGAACTGAGAGGAGAGAAGCCTCGTCCTGCCCAGCTCACTGTCTGAGCGAGCGACTCCAGCCCTAGGTCAGCCGGCTCTATTGCTTTGGGCATGACGTGAATCAGAATAGCATGAGGAGGAGCCTGTGGCTGAGGAGACTGGTTCCTATAGAGAGGAGGGAGACCGGAAGGTGGGGAGGTGGGTGAGGGCAGAGAGCCTCTGTGCGCAGGCTGCTCTCTGTCCGGGTGTCACAGGCGGACACTGAGATAGCTTGAGTGTTCTGCAAAGTTACAGAGTATTGAATGCTGCATGATTATCACCACCGAACTAAGATTGTTTTCTTTCGTCATCAATGTTAGTGTGTCAAATCACTCGAAGCAGAATCTAATGACCGTGGCAAATTTAGGAGTGGTGTTTGGACCAACTCTGATGCGACCACAGGAAGAAACTGTTGCTGCCATCATGGATTTGAAGTTTCAGAATATTGTTGTAGAAATCTTAATTGAAAACCACGAGAAGGTACCATTGTCTTTTTTCTTTAATAGTACTTATGAATTTGGCTTGTTAACATGTGCATGGCTTTATTATTAGTCTGTATTTCTGTTTTGTCATTGCTGTGAAGTTATTCCTCAGATGCTGACATTCAGCGCTGTGTTCTAATGGCGCGTTCCATGACGCGTTCCATGAACCTGACCCTTAGTGGGCCTCCTCTTACCACATTGCTTTATTGAAGAAACCTTGCATCCAGATGCAGTTGAATAGGCAGTGCCAGTGATTGTGCATGGTTGAGGCTTTATTTACATTCCTGTCCATGGATATTTGTATATACTTACCTGCTGCCCACTAGGCACACAGTGAATGATTACTGAAGGAATTAATACATCCAGGGCATCTTGAGGGAGTTCAGCATGAACAAGAGACAGTGCACGGAGATGGAGTCCCTTTGAAGGACTGTAGGACAGCTCTTCTTGGGTCCCTGTATTGCTGTTTGTTGGAGCAGTTTGGGTGTGTGTGACTGTAGATCTATTCTGACAAGTTAAACTCGGTACTGGTTCTGTCAGTGTGTCTCACTGATGTGGTAACGGCACTTTGTTTAGGTGGGCATCGAGTCTTACTGTTTTGGTAGTGACTGGTGGTGAGTTTATGCCATCATTTATGGTCCTGTCCCACTGTCATTAAGTCTCATTGATGTGCACTGAGTCACCCAGACAGTACACTTGGGAAGGTGGCTACTGTTCAGCTTTAGAAAAATATGCCATTATATTGGTGAATTTATTAAGGCCACTCCACGTAGTTAAAAGGAGATTTATTTAATGGCGTAACTTACAAATTAAGGGAAAGGTATGTCGCCGGGTCTGGGGAAGGTGTATCGCAGTCCAGCGGTATTCTCTGGAGCTCTTCTTGGTCAATCTCCACCGTTCAGGGTCCCGGAGCAGAGAGAGCGCACTGAGCAGTGCTGGCCCATCCAGATCTCGGGTCTCCAGGCGCCTCCCCTGGCCCTGCCTCGTAGGCGTGACATTTGCCAGTCTCAATGGGGGTTGGAACTTCCAGATCAAAGCTGGAATGGCTACCCACTGCGTCATTAGACTGCCACTTGGGAACATGAGATTAGCTCACCTCACCATTATATTAAATCTTCATTAGAGGACTCTGGTGCAGTTCGTTCACCCTGAGAACGGGGTCCAGGTCTTACTCTTGGGTCTTACTCTCAGCCCCTCTCTGGGGAAACAAGCGTGTACTGTTTCTGCGGGAAAGCGGTGATGGCTCTCCATGCTGTGAGAGCTGGTGAGGATTTCCGAGGACCCCGGAAGCCGGTCCTTGTGTCCAGGCAGAAGAGGTCAGCCGCGCACTCAGCGCTCAGCTCTCTCAGAGCCAAGCGGAGAGTTGTGGTTTTCCTCCGCCCTCTATGGCTGGACACACAACCTCCGTCATGAAACTGCTGAGATTTCCCCTTTTTTTTAAAAAAAAAATATGTTTTTAATTGAAACAGAATGACATCACTTTCCCCCCACCCTTTCCTCTGTCCAGCCTCTCCCAGCCACCCTCTCTGAAATCCCTCCCATCTCCTCCCACAGTGTTCTCTGAGCCTTAGATCCAGGGGCTGTGATGTAGATGTAGCCATTGGGGCTGGGTTCCCCACAATCCCTTGGCCTCTGCATTGTGTCCAGTTGTGGTTTTCTGTGGTTGTTTCCATTTGCTGTAAAGAGAAGCTTCTCAGGAAAGGTGGCTCCAGCACCTGAGATTTCCTCTTGTGGAGAGAGGAGGTGGGCGCTGTAAGCAGGGCTGAGGCTGGATGTACAGGGTGATGAGGGGAGGCGGCAGCTGGCTTTTGAGTGAAGTTCCTCACTTCCTGACTTCTTCTCCTTTCTGATTTTCTTGTGTATTTCAAAGTTCTTTGTTTCTGAACTGTTAACTAGGCTGCGTGTCAGAGACAGCTCGCTGTGAGGAAGAATAATCCTGTTGACAAGGGTGGGTGTGAAAACTCCACAGGATCTGTGTGTCCATATTAGCCACATCCCTCCATTGGACTGCCAAGGCGGGAGGGGGGTGCAGGTCCCTTGGTAGATGGAACAAGAAGGAAGGGAGACAGTGAGGACAGGAGGGTTGAGAAGGCCGCCGAGGAAGTGCAGCGCATGGAGGCCCAGCCTGAGGGGGGTGTGCGCAGCGACCATGGCGAGCAGGCGGGGGACTGAAGGACTTCAGGTGTTTCTCCTTTTCTCTCAGTGCTCCTTTTCCTCCCCAGGATTGGGGAAACATTGAGTGTCGGAAAGTCACCAAAGCCAAGAGGAAACACCTTGTTATTAATGCAGAGGCACCCCAGCTGGGCTTGGGATGGGGAAAAGACAGTTCTCTGCTTCGGAGAGCGTAGTTTCCCACCCTTTGCTCGTTCTTATAAAATCCATATGTTCTTCCTAGGAAACTCACCCCATATGTCTTGGTTTCTTTTGCACACTAAACATTAAGATGTTGTTTTAAAAGGAGTGTTCCTGGGCCAAAAACATTATCGGGGTGGTGGATGTGTTTTCTTTTCTTTGCAAGAGAGAAAATTGTGTTTCCATTGTAGAATGGGTACTCTGAATTCCCACAGATTTTCTGACTGTGGTTATACCTGTGGCTTTGTGGCATTTATGTACTTTATATATTAATTCAGAGCACTGTTTCCTGAGTGCCTGTTGTGAGTTAGATGTGTGTGATTTGGGGAAAATAAATATGTGAATCCTGCTGTGGGAAAGAAATGTTTAGAAGTAGCCATAAGATACCCTGTGGGCAACTGAGAGGATGCTGGGGACTTCTGGGGAGAGACTATGTCAGCTTTCGGGTATTTGTGTGTTGAGAAGTATTCCTTATTCCTGGGAAGCTAGTTGGAGTGGGCTGTGGACTGGAGGTGTGTGAAGAAGACATTCTAGGGTAGGAGATGGCTAACTAGAGAAGCTCAAAGAGGAAATATGAAATGAGAATAGAAAGGGAATCTGGATGCATGGGCAGGTTGAGATCATCACTGCAGGTACATGGACAGCTCAGGGTTGGGTGGGCAGGTTGAGATCATCACTGCAGGTACATGGACAGCTCAGGGTTTTATGTAAACTTGCTTCAGGCCACTTAATTGACTAGAGTGTGTAACAGCAAGGAGAAGCATATGTAATGAAGAGGGAGGCCTTAGGTAGATTTAAGGGCATGGTCAAGAAGCCAGGGTTTTCCAGGGTGAAGAACATCACTCAGCAGGATCCAGTGTCTAATTTGTATGGGTCTCAGAAGAAAGAGTAGCAGTTCAATCCTGGGAGAATTTGCAGGAAATACAAGTAGGAAGTGTTCAGGACATGAGATTGACTTTTGGTTTACTAAAATACGGTATTTGCATCTTATGGCCCTAATGGGGTTGGAGGTTTTTGTGTTTACAGACATTTACCATATATGCTGAAATATAAGCTGAGCATTGTTGTGCATGCATATAGGCCAAAAGACTGAGGCAGATGGACACCAAGTTCCAGGACAGGCTGCCCAGGGAGTTTGACTAGTTCCGTGATAGTATTTAGTTTCCTAGCACAGATGAGGCCCTGGCTTCAGTCTTTTGTGCTGCGCCCTCCTAAACAAGAACAGAACTACAGATACCTGAGCTGTTTAGGTATTCGGGAGCACATGGTCACATGCCTGACTCCATCAGTATATGCAATACTATCTACACAGGTGTTGTTGGTTGTTATACTCCTTTTTGGGGGGCACCGCCCAGCTCCCAAATAAATCCACCTGGAGGCTTATTCTTAATTATGATTGCCCGGCTTAGTTTCTAGCCAGCTTTCCTTAACCTAAATTAACCCATCTCTCTTGCCTTTGGACTTTTCCCGTTCTCTTACTTCTGTAAATCTCACTTCATGGCTTGCTGTGAAGCTGGGTGGCTGGCCCCTGATCTCCTCCTCCTCCCAGATTTCTCCCTCTATGTATTTATCTGTCTGCCAGCCCCGCCTATCCTTTCTCCTGCCTTGCTACTGGCCAGTTCTTTATTAGATCATCAGGTGGTTTAGACAGGCTCAGTAACATAGCTTCACAGAGTTAAACAAATGCAACATAAACAAAAGTAACACCCCTTAGAATAGTATTCTCCTACACACAGGTACAAACTGTCTATGTATAATACCCTGTGAGTGATAAGCTTGTTCATGGGGACACAGCCAGAAAGGGGTGCTTGGGCCTGGACCCAGAGTGTTTGATGTCACATGCTTTGATATTCATTGCTAGAAAAAGAACACTGGCCTTGAGAACATGTCAAGACTTTAGTATTAGTGATGAAAGAGATCCCATGCTTTTCCAGGGCTGTTGAAGAGTGTGGCTGAGTGTGCTTGCTAGTGGTTGCCTAGGAAATGAGACACTGTAAGAAATGGCAGGTGGCGTGGAGTCATTCAAGAGTAAACTTCTTGTTGGGAGCAAGGGCACAAGGCAGCTCCTGAGGGGCTTAGGAATAGTCAACAACAGGAGATAGTAAGTAGAGGTTCACTTTGCATTTCTCATGTGCAGCACAGTGCTGCAGGAGGAAAGCCAGAACACTGGTGGACAGGAAGGACCTGGGAGGCCTGTAATGCATCAGGGGTTTGCATCCAGCTGGTATTTCTCATGGTAGGGGTGCCAGTCAGCTCAGAGGGTGTGAGGAGCTCTTTAAAGAAACACTTGAGCAGGCAATAAGCCTTCTCAGTCATTGTGTCCATGCACATTGAGCCCAAAGGAGGAACCCTGCCCCCCAACAGTAGGACCTCCTCCCGGACCCTGGATTAGGCACAAACCACACCCAAACACTTGTTTTCACAGAGAGATTCTTCATTGAGAAAGGAAGAAAAGTTAAAGTGGCTGCTTCTGACTCGGGCAGAAAACAGCAGCAAACTGACCTTGTAGTTGTCATTTTTAAGAGGAGGAAAAGGGGAGGTCTGTGTTAGGATGGGCTAACGTGCCATGATAAAGGAGATAGGGGATAAGGGAGGAGGGGAAGGGGGACAGAGGGACAGAGGACTGCCTCTGGATCGAGGGGAGAC